CTAATGAACTTCAATCCAATCAACGGAAAAAATAAGACCAATTTTCAACCTTTACTTGGATCTTGCACGACCGTGCATGAAAATTTGTCAATTTCTACAATACGCAACGCGTAAAATGTGTTCAACTTGTTCAATCTCTGGTTGACTTGTTGATGAGATTCCTTTATCCGGAGTGGTAGGTGAAACGAAAAAAATGCTAGTCAATTGTCACTCTGTCCTGCTAATTCTGGACAGAACAAACTATAAACAGAGACAAAATATCTTGGCAACAAACAAGCACAAAAAACGTTGATGAAGCATTTTTTCAAAAGACTGTACGAGTAAAGAACTGTACGAGTTCGAGCCTGTCTTATTTACTATACAGCACTGAGAAAGGATCAAAGTAGGATTTTTTTATACTAGAGGTGCATACGCCAAGTTCCGAATGCTGGAACTGTTATAAAATTTTTCGATAAACTTTTTTAAGTGTTTTCTCTATTTGGATTTAGAAGAAAGAAGCTTATTTGAAGGAGGCCTGGCAAGCACGAGCAATTTAAATTGGTTGAAATGCAAAACAAGGAAACAAGGGTTGTTGAACCGAGCTAGGAGGAAAATCGATAAACAGTGTTTTTTCCCCTGTTTTTGAAGCTTCACGCACATCAAGAACAAAAAAAGATCCCGAATTGTTCAGGGAGGAGTTTAGATACATCCAATGGATTTTCCACTTTGTGAAGCTTACTGCTATTATGATACTAGATATAAAAAGAGTGTCATTGAAAATTGATCAATGAAATTGATCATTGAGATGTACCATCGCAAAATAACGACCACTCTTAGATAAGACAGTAAAATCAAGACAGTTGAAATCAATCAAAAAGATTCAAAAAACTATCAACCATGCAGTTTTATGTTATGAGCAAACAAAAAAAAAGAACTGATTTTAATCTGAATGGGAGGTTGAATGCAATGAAATACATAATAAATTTTTACAACTGCAAGAGATTATATAGTACAAATGGTACGTTTTCTCAAGAATTAAATCTTTTGTTTGAACACTGGTTCTTTTTAAACGCCGTTTTTGCGTTAGCTTAACAACTTTAGGCCTTTTGTATCAAAAAGAGAACCCAAAGTTTTTCCAAAACTGATTGTTATGAAACTTACCATCAAAATTTAGCTCATCTTAAAACTTATTAACAATGGTATATAAAGTTTTATTATGTACTTTTCGGTAATTTCTGATGCGAAAAGTTTCTGAAACTTATCTTCATATTTTTTCAACCCTGCTATTATTTGAAGAACATTTTCCGTATCTTAATACATAGGGCGACAACTGGATAATGTATAGCATAACTGAAAACAGGCGGTTTTCACCTCCCCCCCTCGGATTTCTCTTCCAGACATAGACTACTTAAGGGGGTTGAAGATAACCAATCTGGTCAAGATTGGCATAAGCAAATCATGATAGTTTTCGTGCTAAAAGTTTTTTTAAAAAAGGTGAGATTTAGTCCGACTTATAAACCGTTCCTCATTGAATTAAAGCAAAACTTTTGGTCTATTTATTCTTTCGGTGTATGTAAGAAATTTCACTATAAATTCAACAAAGCGGGTGAGGTGACTGATTTTCGAACAAAAACTGAAAAAAAAATTGATATTTTAAATTTTCCTTCATTTTTCAAAAGCAAACACAACTTCACAAATCTTATAATAAGGTTGGGATATTCAGATCTTCGCCCTGATAAGAGAAACCTTTTTAATTAGAAATTGATAATTCAAAATTAGTTTTAACTGAGTCTGATTTCCCATTTTTTGTTGTTTTTCGAATTCAGTTTTTTGAATAAATCGCCAGAGAAACTATTTATTTATAGATGAAAAAACAAACAAAACATTAAAGTGAATTTGAAGACAGTCAGTTTTTGCGTCTGATTTTCTTGCAAATCACTCCATTTCTACTGCTTAGCAAAATTTTTCTGAAAGGACTTCAAAGAGAAACACAGCAGACAACAGAGCGATAACATCCGGGTTTTAAATTTTTAGTTTTAGAGTAAGTTTTATAGTATTTTTTATGGAAAATATAATCAATGATAGCTCAATAGGTACTTGAGACATGTTTAAAACCACTTGAAAACAGTTTCAATGATATGAAACCACAAACCAGTTTCTCCAACGAGTGTGGGACGCCAAAACTTACAATATCGAAGCTCAAAAAAAACATGAGAGCGTAAAAAGAATCAATAAAACTGAAAAACTGAGGAATAAAAAGCTACTTGGTTCTTCTGTTTTGAAGTAATCTGAGAATTGAAGTTTGGTCAATTTATTATAAATATACGCGCAAAAAGTCCATTGTCTTTTAACGCAGAAGACTATATATTTTATATAATTTCTCCAGAAAAACGTGGAAGTAAGTGGCTCTTAAGTGTTTTCTCTTCAAATTTATGAGCTAACTTTTGAGTTTTTTCCTTTCTAACCAAATCTCTACTGCCTGATTTGAGCAGTGATTTTTCCCTGAAATGGCTATAAAGATTACATATTCACTTCATTGGCCTAGTCCTGGCCTTGTCCAGGATGTATGGAGCGAATTTGATTGAGGGTAAAACTTTTGAGGGCAAAAAGTTTAAAAGAGCATTAAAAGTTTAAATTTGATTGAGGGCAAAAAGTTTAAAAGAGCATTAAAAGTTTAAATTTGGTTGAGGGCAAAAAGTTTAAAAGAACATTATAGTTTAAATTTGATTGAGGGCAAAAAGTTTAAAAGAACATTAAAAGAAATATTTTTATTCCTCTTCTCTTCACCCACCTGTTCTTTTTTTAAAAATAGTATTCTTGTTCACTTCAATCAATGGTTACACCAAATGCCATTCAAACTGATTCAGCCATCACTAACATACTTGGTTTTTTTTTGTTAAAATAAACATTGGAAATCACAGTTTTCTCAGAATGAACTAAAACATTTTGAAAGGCCCAATCTTGGCTTAAAAGATTTTTCAAAGGGTTAACCACAAGCACAGTTTTTTTACCATTGATTCCTTGAAAAAGATAAACGTTTTCAATTAAGATTATCCCAAAAACGCAGCAAATCATTAAGAAAAAATGTGCGCCCAAAATGCCTGGGGCAATCGACAAATTACAAAAAAAACAAAGCCATCCTCCTTAGATTTCATTTCTTCTCGTTCATATCTGCGCTAATATTTTGCAAGTTCTGTTTGAATGCTCTTTTCTCCACGTGACTGAAAGGATTTGTTTTTTTGGATCAAATTGAACAAATAAAACTGAAATTATCTCCTAGTGATTCATCTTAAGAAACTATTTCAAGCCCGATGTCTTTCCAGGATTGAAGTTTTTTTAAAATCAACCTTCCGTAAGAGATGAAAAAACTGCTGAAAGTGATGCAATTTGTTTAAATATAAAGTGATATGGTATGCATCTATAAACACATCACACCAAATCTAAAAAGTTATGTAAACGCTTCAGAAGCTTGTATATTTAAGCTTATACAGATTTCAGAATATATTAAAAAAAATTGTCGAAGATGGCTAGTTAGACGATCGAATTTGCCCGAGAAAAAATATCACCCATAGCAGAAATCTGAACTATAAAAATGACAATTAATTGACACGTACTACTTGACTGTTATCTTTACGTTAAGCATGCTATTTGCTTCTAAAAACTGAAGCTCAGTTTTTCTAACTCTTATAAAACTCACACAAGACAATGGAGAAAAACTCTTTCACAATAATTTTGTTTCAACTTTATAACGGCTAATACATAACCATAAAAAAATAGTTTTCTCACAATCGAAACAAGTAATTTGTTTGAGGATAACATGAAAGTTTTCGCAACTAAATGTTGCCCAAGTATTGAACACTTGATTCCAAACATTATCATTCATGATGTTTGTTTCCATCAACACAAATTTACCATGAAAATTTTGCCGTCCTCATTTTTATTGTCCTTAAATTGTGGCATCTTGAAATTGTGGCATCTTGAAATGAAACATTTTCCGTTGAAACCCAAATAAAGTAATGAAATTTTTACTTTGTCAAAATTTCAAAAAATGTGTCTTGAATCTAACGGCTAGGGTGTAATTTCTTTTTTTTTTCAGAACATTTTGAACCGAAGAGCTGATAATTTAACAGAGCTTCTCTTTATGACCGCATTTTTAAAAAAAAGTAATATGAAAAGTAACTCTTTGAGCTGTTACAAACAAATGAGGAGTCTCATGCTTGAAAGACCGATTGCTTGAAAAATTTCAACCAATCAAAATCGCTAAACGTTTCTATTGGCTAAATGCCTTTCTCACAAAATCGAAGTCAATATTCAGAGAAAATTTATTAAATCAGTGGAAAATAATCAAAAATTTTACAAATTGCGGGTTACAACCGCAATAATATTCAGAAAATCATCAAGATTAATGAGGTCAAAATCATAAGATTTTTTCAGTCTTGAAAACTCATCTGCTTATTATCCAATCGGTCAATATTGACACTTATGGCCTGGATTTTTTTTCTTACTTTAAGATTTTGAATACTCAATTCTGATTGGCTGAAAGTAAGCTAAAATTAATTTCAAGCATTCGGTCCTTCAAGCATGGGGACGCCACCATGAAAAATCCCGTGAAAACGTTCAAGAATTTCGATGAAAATAGCTATCAACTGCGTATTTGGAAAGCGGACGTCCCCCGGTAATTTGGCCCCCTGCCGACCCAAAGGGTCCACCTTTACAATATTTTTAGAGATCAATTTTTTGGCTGACTGACCTTGAAAGTTTTCTAAAGGTGCCTTTGGCGCCATTAAATACTAATTTTTAGGAGGAAGCGCGCCAAAAATACGCAATGTTTTGGTAAAAATTATCTGTAAATTCCTAAATGTAGGTCACAAGATTTCCAATTTTTTTTCAAAGACCGTTCTGCTGGAGAAAATTTTGGATCTGTCCCTAGTAGTCTAATACGAATTTGTGAAACTTATAATGCCTCCTGAAAAACTCAAACTTAGGCATCTAAACTGACTATGTTGGAATTTTTTTTCTAGGATATTTCCAAACAGTGCAGCGTATACAATGGGGCTCAAACGGCTATCAACAGCGATACATTTCCATCCTTAGTATGAAATAATAAATCATCATTATCATTAGAACATTATCATCATCATCATCATCATCATCATCATCATCATCATCATCATCATCATCATCATCATCATCATCATCATCATCATCATCATCATCATCATCATCATCATCATCATCATCATCATCATCATCATCATCATCATCATCATCATCATCATCATCATCATCATCATCATCATCATCATCATCATCATCATCATCATCATCATCATCATCATCATCATCATCATCATCATCATCATCATCATCATCATCATCATCATCATCATCATCATCATCATCATCATCATCATCATCATCATCATCATCATCATCATCATCATCATCATCATCATCATCATCATCACCACCATCATCATCATCATCATCATCATCATCATCATCATCATCATCATCATCATCATCATCATCATCATAGCAGAACCACAAGCATCGTCGTATTTTTTATCGACTGTTTTCGTCTTTTCAACCAGGACTGCGAGGGAACACCTTCAGAGCCAGTATCTTCAAACAGGAAATGGTACTTGAGATATCGGATAGAAAACGGACTAACCACCGGCTGCAGCCATATAAGACAAGCGGACCCAAATAGTTAGTCGAACTGATTTTTTATACTATGCTATTTCTTTTGCATAAATTGAATGACAATGATTATACATCACGAAGAAGGATTTTACACGATTCAAACATTTGCGCTATACTTTTTTGATTCATTTGCCCATGGAATTCCGTCAGTTCATTTTGTAATTCAACAAGTTGCGCGCTTGCTCAACACTCTGGGCCGCTCTTTCTGCTAAAAAATTACGCGCCAAAAAATTGTTGCTTGTCGAAAAAATTGACGTGCGAGATATCTTCCAAAAATTGATTTTTAAAATCATAATAGACGATTACTACTGCACTAAGAATCACATTTAGTGCAGGCGTAACTGATTCCCTAGTCTCCTAAGGTATCAATCTGGTTGTCCACTTTTCTTAATGATTTGTACAGATTTACTGATTACCGATTAGGTATAGTGAGTGTCACAATTTCAAACGGGCATCAGTTGTTTCTATTGCTAAATTTTTTAAAAGGGTTTCTTACGTTTTGACAAGATTTATCTATATATTTCAAAGAAAAGTTTAAAAAAGTTGAGTAGTTGCGTATCATTGAATTCAAAAAATTATGATTGGAAGATTTCCTGGAGTTTTGACAAAATTTGGATTTACCCCAATAAGGAATCATCAGCACAGATGACTTCTACTCAGCACAGCGTTTACAGACAGTAAACAGCTAAGTTTCAATCTTTTCAGGTGCCGATGGATACTACGAAGTAAGATTGCACGGAATCAAAATAACAGTTTTCTGTGTGATGAGGGAACCAGAACAAAGCACCTTGACTTTTGTGGATATACATGCTGAAACAACACTTTTCGATGCAGCGGTATTTACTATACATTTCCGTTGTAAAAAAGAGTTCTGTTGTAATAATTTTGGTCTTCCTAGTTCACAACAAACGACATTTCAATTTTTTTCACATCAGAGGTGGGGGAAGCGGGCTGTTCTGGAACCAGTTCTAAACTAGTATTTATAAACCAAATATATTATTAATAATTAATCACAATAAAATGTTAATCAGCACCAGAACAATTTGGAAAAACCTTGAATACAGTTGTTCTCCTTCTGGATAAACTCCAAAAACTAACTCGCATAAACCAGTATACACTAGATCTATTGAGACTAGGAGATATAAGAGTAAGAATAAGATCGGTATTGGACCAAGAAGTTGCACGAATCTATCCGGCCGAGAATAAGATAGCTTGACGAGCAGACGGTGTAACTTGTCTGAAATTACTCTATGAGTATAACCATTAGGTCATAACTCATCTGGTGAGATCAAAGGTCTCAAACAAGACCTTTACTAACTTAGAATTAGACAATTGCAAATTGCAAAAATATTAGACGCAATAGATAATTTAATAGAAATGTCTCTACGTCTCAATAAATCTACGCTAATTTTCTAAAGAAAGTATTGAAAGTATTGAAAGAAGACCAATATCATGGCGTGAAAAACGATCAGGAAACGGAACACTCTACTACATGATAGTACGACCGAAACCGGAACAAGTTTTTGTACTCAGAATACTTTATGTATTAACTATAAATTTTCAATTATTGACATGAAATTTATTTAAAGAACAATTCTTCAAAAACTTTTTGGGTGCTTAGACTACTATCTATACAATAACGACTGATAAAAATAACACATGTCGTTTTCCACAAAATCTGCAGTAAATCAAAACTTTTGAATAATTGTTTTATTAAATTAAAAAAAAACAAAAATTAAAAATCATTGTTAGTTCTAAAAATCAACACTTGATTTTCCTCGTCTCAGCTTCATCACTTGAAAAACAGAAAAAATTCAAAAAACTGATATCATCTAAACTCTAACTTTTAAATTTTGTCAAACTTAAAACATTACATTAAAACTTATCAAGGCTTGCCCTTGCTTTCCATATTTCATTTTTCTTCATAAATAGATCATCAAGGCTTCCCTTGGATCTTTTTTTCCTTGGATCAAATCAGAACAATTTTGTTCTCCCCTTCCCATAATTTTAAAAGTGTCTAAAGACCTCAAACGTCGATTCACTACCCAACCCTTATAAACGACACAGGACTAAAAGAACTTTTTTGAAAAATTAACCATTTTAATTAAGCTAAAAAGTGAAGAACTTAAGTTACTCATCCATCACTTGAAACCTTCCTCTAAGATGACCCAGACTAAAACCCTTAAACAATTAGTAAGTCATAAAATAGTATTCAACGATTTATCTGTTATACCTGAATATCTAAATATAACTGAACCTTGTGCATTGATTTGCTATTCTCCAACACTCGATCGCAAATCACATCCCCTAGGTAAGATTAAGTAAGTAACTCATAGATTAAAACCGAATTGATATACTCTCCCTCCAACCCGTCAACCACGACAATCTATGGCCCAAGTTAAGATAACCACAAAAAAAACCGTAAGAACTAACAATTTAAGAAAATAAAAATTCTAACCCCAAAGTATTGCATCCATCATCCTAAACCTTATGTCAAGGGATAATCTAGGCAGTAAAAAAACAATCTTAATACATAACTGTTTAATTAAAAACAATAGATACGATCTTGTAATCACACAGCACAGAAAAACAATAGGATATATTAGGTCAAAAAAACAAACAGGAAAAAAGACAACCATAACAAAACAAAACAAATTATAAAAAAAACAAGTTTCAAAACGATGAAACGTAGCCTCAGAATCGTGAAAAAACACAATACAGAACCTCAAACTTAGAAGAATCATCAAAAAAGTAACCCAACAGACGACCAAATGTACTTTCTGACTCAGAAGCTACAACATCATCATCAATAAAAGCAAAACGCAAAATAAAAAAGTCATATATCAACAAACTAACGCGTCTATATAATTGGAATCAACCAAGAAGACATATTGTATGTTACTCACTAACAGTTCTACAAAATTAAACATGACCAAAAACAACAAAAGTTTTGATGATTACTCGACACTCCCTTTTTCATAAAACCACAAAACGATCCCGCCCGAGGACAAGTACAATTTTGTTACAACTTAATTGTAAATTTATTTGAAAAAGGAAATAGCTCATGTAAACAAGATTTTCCTGAAGTTAAAATAAAACGACAATTACCTGACCACTATCTCAAAGGTATATGTAATATCAAATAATTTTACGGATAATTACAATTGAAATTGTATCACCAAACTAAATCACACTAAACATCAAATCCAAACAGACGATATAGATATAGAAATCTCGAATGTTTTCACAGACTATGTAAAAATATACAACACCAAAATTCACAAAGAGCAAATTCAATATTCACAAATGATGTTTTTTTTCACTTATCTATAGCTATTTATTCATACTAATAGGAAATGAAAGAAACACAAAATGAGTCTCCAACTCAAACATCCCGACATTCAACTGTAAGACAGGAAATCTGGGTTTTTTCAAATTTTTTAAATAGAATCCGTGAAAAACTCAAATTTAACGGAATCTCACAAAAAACGTTAAACATGATCTACAAAAGATACTAGCATGGTTTATTAATGATTATTTTGTCCATAACAACGATCTCATAGCACTACCAAGAAAAAAATTTCGACCACAAATTTCAGAAAATGAAACTAAATTAGCAGATTAAACATATTATGTTTGGGTCCTTGATTGGTCCAGTTTTTTAGTAAAACAATTGATATATCAATTCAAGCATTCATTTCCACTAATAAAGACTACGATAGAATAACTCCACTTACTATTGATGCAACACCTTTAAATTATCATGCAATGTTCCCTGACAGAACAAGAAATAAAAGCTTAAATTCTACATTCAATAATACACAAGAAAATTTAAATGGAACAAAAAATCTTATACAACAAGGTATTCAAACTCCATCACATTTCGTTAATGAAACAATGCCAACAACAACGCAACAAAGCATTTCCCCCATTCATCCTACACTGAAATCTTCAAAAAATAAACATACAGCATTCCCGCAAACAACTATACAATCCACAGTAAAACCTTCTATTATACCAAAATACTCAAAAATGGATTATCAAACATCTAAACCAGTAACGACATCACGACCAGCAAATAAACAAAAAACGTCTGATAGAAACTACTTTTCAGATCAAACTTATAGTTTTTTTTTTAAAATCCAAAACAACAAAACCCCCCTATACGAATAGTGATCACAAGCACAAAAGTTTAATCAAAACGTGCCACAACATGCCTCTCACATAGTATTTTTTAACGATAAACAACGAGCTACAAGAGATCGTAGCGAAAATTATCCATTTTCCAGCAAAATAAAACCATTACTAATAAACGACATTTAAGGAATCAACCACATTATTCAGAAGATGAAAATTACTATAGTCAAAATCAACAATGACTCAGTACAAATCATAAAAAAAAACAATAATTGGAAAATTGATCAACCAGATCCTATCTATCAACCAGATCTTCTCGAACCATATACAAGAAACAAACCAACACGACAAACAAGACATAAACCAACATCATATGATAATAACTTTAAATCACAAAATCCTTTTAATACACGAAGTTATCAACCAACTCAAATGCAAAATGAAATCCCATTACCATATTATTCATAACAACATGAAATAACAAAAACACAACTTACAAATTTTTTTCAAAAACCAAATTCCGCAGATTCACTACAAATGACTATGAATCCATACCTTATGGGTGGATCTTCTATATCATCTAGTAAACCACTAATGTTATTCCTAGAAACAGATCCTGAATACTCAGTAGAATATTATTTAAACGGAGTCACAGCCAATTCATATTGAATATAGCACCTGAACCACTAAATACACCACTTCATTAAAATTGGATACATAGACACACAATTCTAATCCAAACCACACTTGATGGCGCAGTCCAAAAAAGGTTTTCAGTTTTATTTATAGATTTCAAATCAGATTGGAAAGAATCACACAAGAATTTTCAAAAATGTTTGACTCTGAAAGGAACAAACAACATCAAAAAGTTCTATGCAACGAAATTGGTAGACTCCCTAATGACACAATTAAAAAACTTGCAGTAAGAGTCGAAACATTGGTAAGAAAAGCATATTCCCTTGATACGCATGACTATAAAAACCCAAAAATGACAGAAATTTTAATCATAACTCTAACACCACAATTACGGAAAATAGCGATTAAAAAGAGAGCATCGCATCCATCTTCAATTCGAGAACCCGATATAGATTTCCGAAAACTTGTAGATAAGCTAGAACAAGCTGAAATTACTATGAAACTGGAAAAAACAGAAAATTTAAAATTACAATACGTAAGCAACATCCATACAACTACTTCACAAATAAATAACATTCATGAGTCTGACACTGAACTAGCTGAAAAAATCACTCAAATATTAAGTATCTACAATCCAAAATTTATAAAAATCCAAAATTTATGGCAACGATCTTTCAAAAAATGATGTAACTATTGCCGTAGATATGACATAGCATTCCTGAAGGTAGACAGAAACAACAGGATAATCAGAACAAACCACAGAAATATAGAGAACCAAATATATCATTTTGTCAATACATGAAAAAAGACCAGAATTTACCAAACAAAAACATTCACAGTAAAAATAGTTCAGGAAAACCATTTCCAGATAATGATAATACCAGAGAAGAATTATTCAAAATTGTTCTAGACGCAAGATACCTTAATTCTCTCATTGATGAATCTAAATGTAATTGGTCCATAGAACCAAATCAAGTAATTCTCACAAAAATAATCGGAAAATATTTTCCAACAGCTGACATGAACAGCGCAAACAATCAAATGTCACTAGATGAACAATCACGACGCTTAGCACAATTCGTTATTGGAAACCAACAAAACGAATTTAATAGACTTTTCTATGGAAGTTCCATAGGACCAGCAGCATTTTCAGCATTTATGAGTAAGATTTTTCGACCACTCATTCTCAGTAAAAATGTCATAAAATATTTATGCGATGTTTTCATGCAATCACAAGCAAAACGCAAAATGTTTAAACTATTGGATAAATACCACCAAATACAACTTAAAGAAAACATGAAAGCGGCCCCAGACAGTTCACATTTTTCCCTCGCTCGTGTAAAAATCCATTGACATATTATTGAAGGAAATACAATCACTCCAATAAAATCTCGCATTGACGCAACCATAAAACTTCAAATTCCATCAATTAAAAAGAAAATCCAAAAATGTTTTGGAATGCTTAACTTTTTAAGTATATACGTCTATAAAAGGCAACTATGTTTAAGATCATTTTATAAAATTCCCAGACAAAAAAAAATTTTGAATGGACAACAGAACACCAAAAACGATTTGAAGAAATAAAAACACTCCTCACTGAACAAATATCAAATACTATTCCAGATCCAGACCAACCATTTTATGCTATGTGCGACGCCTCAAAGTTCGGCATCGGCGCAGCATTATTAGAATCACACAGTGGAACAAATAAAATGAATCATATTTCAGCAAATTCAAGACTATTTACACAAGCTGAATTTAGACTCTCTACTCTTATGAGAGAATGCACAGCCATAAAATATACTCTCACAGATTATGAATTTTCAATACTTGGATCAAAACATCCAACAGTTCTATTTACATTAGGTCATAACTAAATTCTGACCTCATAGCTCAAAAAATAGATAACAAAATGCAAACCGCTTTCTGCTCAAACGAGTTGGTATAATCTCGTCTTTCCTGGCAATTCATAGTTCGACTATGTTATTGCTGAGAACAAAGTTTTTTCGTATTCTGCTAATTAACTCCACTCTTAATGTCACAAATAGTCCAATAAACATCTTTTGGAATGGCATTTGAGCAAAAATAAAATTTTAAGCCGTAGTGCGGGTCATTTTGGCAGTGTAGCTTAACTGTTAGCTGCAATAAACAATAATTTAATTTTCGCATACGTAATAAATACGTAATAGAAACAAGACACTATAAAATTTCAAAAAGTGTTAATGGTTGTGCCGTTTTGTTGATAAACTTTGGTGGTGATCAATTTGACCTTATAATAAAAAGCCTTACCAGGAAAAGCACAATTGTACACCTCGTTTGAGCAGATTGTGATTAATAATTTGTGAATTTCTGGGCGATGTTGAGATGTTGTAAGATCAAAACTAAGCCACATCTTTAATGAGTCCTTAGAAGTTTTTAGATATGAAATTCTTAGTACGTACTTATAACACTCAATTATTCTTAACTAGCACAACCTCAGCAACAATTTCCCCAGCCCGTTAAAAGGAATTGATCAATTTTAGAGAGAAAAATGAAAACCATAAATTGTGGTCAATATTTAACCTTAAGTATAAAGGTTAGAGCAGTACAAAATTAATGCGACCAATATTAGCTTGCCTCAATTCAATTTGGAACAATTTTGTGCTGCGGCCTATTTCGCCACGCAAAACAAATCGCAATGCTCTTTTAGCACCATAAAAGTTTTTTCACCAGGCGCATAAATTGATCCAGCGTATGGCTAAATTGGGTATTTTCAAAACCTCAGAAATTCACCAAAAAATGAGGCCAAAATTTACATTTAAAATCAGAAATTGATATTTTTCATACGGTATAAAAACATTTGTTAAAACTTTATTTTATTTGCCGAAACTAGACTGAAAAACCACTTCAAGTAATTCTTCTGCTTTTTATTCAGAAGTCGAAACATTCACCAATTGTTAACAAAATGAATTTCAGGGAAATCCGAATTATGTCAAGAAAGAATTCACAAAAGCGCGCATTATCTATAGTTCATGTGTGGCGGGGCTGCAGGCAAACGCTTTCACATTCTCCACACAGACAGGCAATAACAATCTCTTCATCGAATCCCATGCAGGTATCTTTACATGCATACAAAGTTTCAATCACCTCTACAGAAAACACGTCGTCGAGTTTTAACACAAGGGGTTTTCCATTCGCATATAATGATAAAATTAAAGAACCAATTTTACAAGATTATCACGAGGCCAAGCTCGGAATTTTGGTAGTGATTTGGGTTTTGCTGACATTATCCTTAGCATTCGCTATTTTGTGTTGGAATCCACCCCCGTTTTTCAGCATTTAAGTAAATCAAATTTTAATTGAGCAGAAAAATTTCATTCTATCAAAAAAATAACTATGCATAGTTTAATGACCAGCTCACTCAAACACTGGGGTAATCAGGGACACTCTTTCTCATGATAACGATTGTATAAGGAGTTGGTTAATTTCCCAAAGTTGACCCGGGTCGAGATCCCGCTCAAAAACCGCTCGAAAAATGAGCGGTTTGAGCGGTTTTCCAGCAAGATTTGAGCGGTTGGAGCGGTTTGGCGGATTTGTTTTGGAAAAACCGCTCAAAACGTTCAAATTTTGCTTAAGAAACCGCTCAAAAACCGCTCACTTCTTGCGGTGGTTTTTAAACGGTTTTTCAGACGAAATTTGAGCGGTCTTATAAAGAAAACCGATTAAAACCATCAAAAGGCCTGGAAAGCTAATGTGACGCTAAGATGCAGTTGAAGTATTATCTACAATTTAAAAAAAGTGCTTAACCGTTCTCAACTCAAGCAAGATATTTTTTGATGTCTAGACCACAAACAATGTGAGCGACCTTTTTCAAATGTTCGAGTAAAAAAACCACTAGAAAATATGTATGTATGTGTGTATGTATGTATTTACGTATAAATGTATGTATGTATGTATGTATGTATGTATGTATGTATGTATGTATGTATGTATGTATGTATGTACGTATGTAAATATATATGTATGTATGTATCTATGTATGTATGTATGTATGTATGTTTGTATGTGTGTATGCTCGAGCGGAAGCTGTTGAATCTACTAAACATTTGACTGACCAAATTTAAAACAAAAAAGTCGTGTACAAAATATGAGGATGCAAATTGGAAAATTGGAAACCACAACTGAAGTTTAAAAAAAAACAAATTGAAGTGTGTAAAATTGATTTAAAAAATTTATACTACCTTATACTGACTTTAAGGTAACAAGTGTATTTTTTTGACTGCAAAAAACTTGTTATTGTCCAGACCAAGGGTCGAACACCTTCGGTCTTTCAAGCATGTCAAACAACAACTAGACTGTATGGCTTTTTTATAGAACGTGTCAATCTCGCTGACTATTTTTGCTCAATTGGCTAAAAAGATGCAGCAGCAGACAAGTTGTTGCTAGACCCGCTGTTAGACTTGAGGAAACTCGTGATTATGTCTGAAAAGTTTGTTTCTCAGAGCTTGTCGCATATAATAATCAAAATAAAGAACCTTTTTAAAAAATTATCACAAGGCCAAGCTCGGCACTTTGGTAGTGGTTTGGGTTCCGCTGACATTATCCTTGGAATCCGCTTATATTGTGTTAGATTCCGCAATGTTTCGATAATCTTTTAAACTCGGAAATCTGATGGAATCGAAAAAAAATGTTTAAGCACTAGGCGCTAAAACTCTGATTTGGCTAATGAGCAAAAATTAGGAATTCAGTGACAATGCGGATTTTAGAGACAAATGCAAAGCCATGTTTGTTTCGGAATCCGCAGATGAATGTACTTTTGCAATGGAGCAAATTGAAGCGAAATGTCGCTCGATTACACAGTTTGTTAGTGGACTCCGCTTCTGTTCAAATTGCGCATTTTGTCGAGGCGTTCTTACAGCACAAGTTCAACAGTTTAAAAATTTATCCGAACCATTTTGTATCACCTTATTTTGTTGGATGATAACCTTGAACGTATCCCCTCCGATTGCTTAATTATATCAGCAATTGAGACAAACAAACCTCTCAATTATTCCGCAAATGAGACAATTGTCTCTCCAATTCAGCCCTCCTCTCCTTTTTTATCTCTCTCTTTCAGCAATTGAAATGAGTCCCTTCTTGCTACCCACCCCCCTTTTTCATCATTTAAGTAAATCAAATTTTAATTGAGCAGAAAAAATCTCATTCTATCAAAAAGATAATTAAGCATGATTTAATGACTAGCTCAAGCAAACTCTGGGGTAATCAGGGACAGTTTTTCTCATAATAAAGATTGTAAAAGGACTTGGTTAATGTCCCAAAGTTGAGCGGAAGCTGTTGAGTCTACTAAACATTTGACTGACCAAATGTGAAACAAAAAAATTGTATTCAAAACATGAGGTTGCAAATTGGAGTATAGAGAGGTTAGGGCATACCACAACTGAATTTTAATGAAAAACTGAATTTGAAATAAATTGAAATGTGTAAAATTGATACAAAGTTATGTACCACCTTATATTGATTTTAACGGTAACAAGGGTGTTTTATTCACTGTAAAAATTATGTTATTGTCCAGACCAGGGGTCAAATACCTTCGGTCTTTCAAGCGGGTCAAACAACATTTAGACAAAATGGCTGTTTTATAGAACGTGTGAATCTCGCTGACCATTTTGGCTAAATTGGCTAAAAGATGTAGCAGCAGACAAGTTGCTGCAAGACACACTGTTAATCGTGAGGAAACTCGAGCTTTGTCCAAAAAGTTTGTTTCTCAGAGCTTATCGCATCTCTGTGGAATGTATTACAACGCGCAACTTAATAACTTTTTGATCAATACTGTTTTCAGGTTGCGAAATTCTCAGTTGCCGGTGTTACCGGTTGCGTAGATTGCGGTTGCGGGGTTTTCAGATTTCCTGCCTGTAACTGAGCCGCTCTTGGGCTCTTCATTAAGCAACAGGATCCAATAAATGTCAACAAAACTCCGGTAGTTTTTGATTCCGATAGCACTCGGTTCAATAAAAAACAACCCTTTTAATGAATTGATTATGAGTAGATTGGACAACTTTACGTTTTTGTTTGAATAAGTTTTTAGCGAAAGTGAATTGGCTTAGGTTGATCTCAATACTTTTTTCACGTAAATTGGACAAACTGGCTAAACAGATCCGGCAGCAGAGAACAATATCGTTCAAAAAGAATTTTTAAGTTGCGGTATGCCATATATTCCCCAGAGTTGCGACAAGCTGTGAGAAACAATTTTTTTTGGACAAACTTCAAGTTTCCTCAAGTCTAACAGCGAGCAGCTAGACTTGAGGAAACTCGAAGTTTGTCCAAAAAGTTTGTTTCTCAGAGCTTGTCGCAACTCTGGGGAATATATGGCATACCGCAACTTAAAAATTCTTTTTGAACAATATTGTGGTCAGGGTGCGGAGTTCCCAGTTGCCGGTGTTCCCGGTTGCGTAGTTTACGGTTGCATGGTTTCCGGATTACCTGCCTGTAAATGAGTCGCTCTTGGGCTCTTCTTGGGCCTTTCCCTAAGCAACCGGATTAAATAAAGCTCCACAAATCTCCGGTAGTTTTTGATTCCGATAGCACTCGGTTCAATAAATAACATGAATTGATTGTGAGTAGATTGGAAAACTTTACATTTTTATTAGGTTTTTGGCGAAATTGAACTGATTTATGTTTGATTTTAAGACTTTTTCATGTAAATTGGGTAAAACTGGCTATTTAGATCCAGCAGCAGCAGAGAAGTTGCAGCAGAAGCTGGATAATAAAGACAGTAAACGCGTTTGCATTGGAAACACTAGTATTTATCGCTTAAAGTACTAATTTGTTCTCAGTTGGTTAGAACACTAGGTTAGGCAATTGACCAAAGAAATAATTGAAGGCAAAAAGTTAAAGTTTCAGGCCTGGTTCCCACTCGCCACCTCATGCATCCAAAGCCACAACGTTGTCTCTTCAACACGAGATTTTTGATCTTTAAAACAGTAGCGGTGCCCGATAGGCCCATTCAACAAAAATGTTGAAAAGTTATCATTTAGATTGATCCCTTTTTTATTCTTTTTACTACGTTAAATGATTACTATTTTCGAAATTTATTCATACTCATTTGCTATTGTTTTGTAACAGGAAAAAACGCTAAGAAATTCGCGTAAAATTGTTTTTGCATCGAGCAAAACATTTTTATGAGCTAGGTGAATTTTAGGGTGGGACTTAATTGCTTATTATGGTATGAGCTTAGATAAAAAGCTTTAAGATCTTTCAACTTTCCAAGAAAACACGTGTAATGTGAACTTTAAATTTAGCTCTAAATGGTTTCATACTTTTGTCACCGTGTTCAATTTTACACTAATTTCGACCAAGTTTTCGATAATATGATTTTAGCAAATATTGAAAAAAAATCTAATTTGATCAATTATCTTTTAGTTTGGAATTAGAAAATTGAACCTAAGTTATTAATGGTTTTAAGTTATTAATAAAAAAGTTAAAACAAATTGATTATAATTTCCTTTTAAGTTTTAACAGCCAGCTAATCACTCTTTTAAATTCTTTTTAGGTTTCTTGGATGTCATCTCCCAAAAATGGGTTTCGAGCTGTCAAATGGGCTGGTAGTTTTTTTCGGCAAAACAAGTAAAGGAGGGGCATTAGCCGCAAGGATTCTCCAATATGTTGTTTTGATATTACACAATCTGCGGGGCCTCGCCTTGGAGCTGTAGTTTCCTCGCGGACTGGCCTGTTGCTAGACACGCTGTTAGACTTGAGAAAACCCAGGGTTCAATCGAACACGAACAGATTGCTTCTCAGAGCTTGTCGCAACTCTGGGAAAAATATGGCATACTGCAACTTAAGATTTTTTTCGATCAATATCGTGCTCATATTGCGGAGATCCCAGTTGGCGGGGTTCCCGGTTGCGTGGCTTCCAGTTGCGGGGTTTCCGGGTTTCCTGCCTGTGACTGAGCCGCTCTTGGCTCGCATTTCCTTAAGCAACAGGGTAAAAAAACAGAGAACAAAACTCCGGTAATTTTTGATTCCTGTAGCACTCGGTCCAATAATTAGAAACCTTTTTAATGAATAGATTATGAACAGATTGGAAATTTTTTTGTTTTAGTTAGAATAATTTTT